CGAACCTGCCACCTTAGTTGTATGTGGCTGGCGCCTTAGCCACTTGAGCCACAGGCGCCAAACCATTAGTTTCAAACCTGTGAGCTCAAGCAGTTCACCCGCCTTGGCCTCCCAGAGTGCTAGGATTACAGGCGTGAGCCACCACTCCTGGTCCCCTTTTATTTTTATAAGATCAGTAATGATGTCCTTCCTTTTATACCTGATTTAATAATTTGAGTTTTCTCTCATTTTTTCTTGCTCAGTCTAGATAAATACTTGTCAATTTATTGATCTTTTTCAGGAGCCAACTTTTGGGCTGGGTACCTGTAGTTCAAGAGGCTAAGGCACCAGCCACATACACCAGAACTGGTGGATTCGAATCCAGCCCAGGACTGCCAAACAATAACGACAACTACAATCAAAAAATAGCTGGGCATGGTGGTGGGTGCTTATAGTCCCAGCTACTTGGGAAGCTGAGGCAAGAGAATGGCTTAAGCCCAGGAGTTGGAGGTTGCTATAAGCTATGATGCTACGGCACTCTACCCAGGGTGACAGCTTGAGGCTCTGTCTCAAAATAAAAAAAAAGGAACCAACTTCTGGTTTTATTGATTTTCTGGGTTTTATTCCCTATATTCTATTTCATTTATTTTTACTCGTTTTTATTATTTTCTTTCTTTGTTTTGGGTTTAGTTTGCTCTTATTCTAGTTTCTTAACGTGGAAGTCTAGGCTATCAATTTGAAATCTTTCTTATTTTTCAATACAGACATTTACAGCTGTAAATTTCCTTCTAAGTATTGCTTTCACTGTATCCCATAAGTTTTTGGATGTTGTATTTTAGTTTCTATTTATCCCAAGGTATTTCTTAATTTTCATGTGATTTCTTCTTTGACCTATTGGTTATTTAGGAGTGTGTTTTAAAATTTCTACATATTTGTGAATTTCCCAAAATTTCTTCTGTTGTTAATTTCTAATTTATTCCATTGTGGTTGGCGAACAGACTTTTGTGTAATTTCAGTCCTTTAAAATTTATTTAGGCTTGGGGCGACACATGTGGCTCAGTGAGTAGGGCACTAGCCCCATATACCAAGGGTGGCAGGTTCAAACCCAGCCCTGACCACACTGCACTGAAAAAATAGCCGGGTGTTTTGGCGGGCACCTATAGTCCCAGCTACTTGGGAGGCTGAGGGAAGAGAATCGCCTAAGCCCAAGAGCTGGAGGTTTCTGTGAGCTGTGACACCATGGCACTCTACTGAGGGTAACAAACTGACACTCTGTCTCTAAAAAAAAAAAAAAAAAAAAAAAAAAAATTTATTTAGGCTTGTTTTGTTTTATGGCCCAGCATATGGTCTATCCTGAGAATGTTCCATGTACACTTGAGACGTATATGTGTATTCTGCCAGTATTGAATGTTCTTTAGATATCTGATAGATCTCATTGGTTTATAGTGTTGTTCAAGTTTTCTACTTCCCTATGGATCTTCTACCTAGCTGTCCTATCCATTATTGAAAGTAAGATATTGAAGTCTCCAATTATTATATTGAATTGTTTAGTTTCCTTTCAATTCTGTTAGTTTTTGCTTCATGTATTTTGGACTCTTGTTAGGAGTATATATATTTACAATCATTTTATCTTCCTGCTATATCAACCTTTTATCATGATAAAATGTCCTCCTAACTCTAGCAAAAAAAAATTGTCTGAAAGTATATTTTTATTTTTATTTGAGACAGAATCTCACTTGGTCACCCTCAGTAGAGTGCCATGGTGCCTTTAGCTCACAGCAACCTCAAACTCCTGGGCTCAAGCGATCCTCCTGCCTCAGCCTCCTGAGTAGCTGGGGCTACAAGTGCCTGCCACAACACCTAGCTGTTTTTTCTATTTTTAGCAGAGACAGGAGGCTTACTCATACTAAGGTTGATCTTCAACTTCTGATCTCAAGTAATCCACTGCCTCAGCCTCTCAGCGGTATGATTACAGGCATGAGCCACTGCGCCTTGAAGAGTCTCTGTTGTCTCACCCTAGAGCTCTTTTAGTTACTGTTCACATGGTTTCCTTTTCCTTCCTTCTGCTTTCAACTCCTGTGTCTTTGAATCTAAAGTAAATCTCTCATAAGCAGCTTCTAGTCAGATCATTTCTTTTTTTGTTGGTTGGTTTGTTTGTTGAGACAGAGACTCAAGCTGTCACCTTGGGTAGAGAACTGAGGCATCACAGCTCACAGCACCCTCCAACTCCTGGGCTCAAGTGATTCTCCTGCCTCCACCTCCCGAGTAGCTGGCACTACAGGCGCCCGCCACAACATCCCGCTACTTTTTGGTTGCAGCCATCATTGTTGTTTGTTGGGCCAGGCTGGATTCGAACCCACCAGCTCAGGTGTTATATGGCTGGCATCTTAGCCGCTTGAGCCACAGGCGCCAAGCCTGTTTGTTTGTTTTGAGAGAGTCTCACTCTATCTGCCCTAGGTAGAGTGCTGTGACATCACAGCTCACAGGTACCTCAAATTCCTGGGTTTAAGTGATTCTCTTGCCTCAGCCTCCCAAGTAGCTGGGACTAGAGGTTCCCCCCCCCCGCCCCCCGCCCCAACACCCAGCTATTTTTTTTGTTGTTGTTGCAGTTGTCATTGTTGTTTAGCAGGCCTGGGCCGGGTTTGAGCCCACCAGCCTTGGTGTATGTAGCTGGCCCTATAACCACTGAGCTGCCGGCACCAAGCCCAGATCATTCCTTAAAATCTATTCAGCCAAGGTGGTACCTGTGGCTCAAAGGAGTAGGGCGCAGGCCCCATATGCCAGAGGTGGCAGGTTCAAACCCAGCCCTGGCCAAAAACTGCAAAAAAAAGAAAATCTATTCTGCCAATCTCTGCCTTTGATTGGGGTGTTGAATCATTTACATTCAATGTAATTATTGATGAATTAGGATTTACATTTGTCACTTTGCTATTTTTTCAGTCTTAAGTCTTTTTTGTTCCTTGATTCCTGCCACCATTAGTGTAAAATAGATACTTTTGAATGCATCCTTTAAATTCCCTTTTTTATTCATTTGCAATTTATTTTTTAGTTTTTTAAAATTTTTCTCTGTACATGTACATGTGTATTCATTTACAATATTTTTGGGGGTCATTTTCTTAGTGGTTGCCCTGGGGATTGCAATTAGCACCATAACTTAAAACCATCTAACTTGTATTAATACTAACCTAATTTTGAAAGTCTATAAAAACGTTGCCCAAAAAAAAAAAAAAAAACACGCTCCAATATAGCTCTAAAAATTCCCCACTCCTTGTCATACAAATTAACACCTTTGTATATCACACAGTTTTGTAATTATTGCTTTATGCGCTTGTCTTTTAAAGGCAGAGCTAAAGACAAAAAAGAAAAGAATTACAACAAAAATGTTTACACTGTCTTTCATAATGCCTATGTAACTACCCTTACTAGTATTCTTTATTTATTCATATGCCATCTTTATTCTTTATTCATTCAAGTTACCATCTAGCGTACTTTCATTTCAGGTTGAAGGCTCCCTTTAGTATTTTGTGTGGCAGATCTGCTAGTGATTAATTCTCTCAGTTTTTATTTATCTAGAGATGTCTTCATGTCTCCTTTTTTTTAAAAAAAAATTCTCTACCTATAATTTTGGAGACTCCTTTATTTTTGAAGGAGAGCACAAGGCTTTGATCCATTCTCATCCAATGCCTAATACAGTTTGGAGAACACCTTCTACCCAATGGGCAGGTCACCCCAATCCCTGTGTCCTTTCTCTGGACTTAGACTTATCCTACCTAGGTCCACCACTTACTACTAGTTATGTGACCTTGGGCAAGTAATGTTGCTGCTCTGTGCCTCGGTTTCATCACATATCAAATGGGGATAACGCCGCTGTAATCAAAAAAGTGTTGGCAGATTGATTTAAACATGGAAAGTGGGGCGGCACCTGTGGCTCAAAGGGGTAGGGCACCGGCCCTATATGCTAGAGGTGGCGAGTTCAAACCCAGCCCCAGCCAAAAACTGCAAAATAATAATAATAATAATAATAAACATGGAAAGTGGCCAGGCACAGTGGCTCACGTCTGTAATCCTAGCTCTCTGGGAAGCCAAGGCAGACTGCTTGAGCTCAGGAGTTCAAGTCCAGCCTGGGCAAGAGCTAGACCCTGTCTCTCCTAAAAATAGAAAAAATTAGCCAGGTGTCGTGGTGGGCATCTATACCTGTAGTCCCAGCTATTCAGAAGGCTGAAGTAGGAGCATAGCCTGAACCCAGGAGTTTGAGGTTGCTGTGAGGTAGGCTGATGTCATGACATTCTAGT